GCAGGCGTTTCTGAGTCACACGGCAGACCCGCTGTGGAGACAGGTGAGGGTGACGTGTTTGGGCCCTGGGGACTCAGCCGGCTGGCATTCCTCACCTCCTCTTGCTGCTGCTTCTGGCTTTTAGATCCAACCAAGTCCTGACACGCTCTTGCAGAAACAACACGAGGTCTGTATGTACCTCGTCAGCTCCCGGGACAGGCGTGCTTTTCAGGGGCCACCTTCCATTGAGTTATTCAGGTGGCCTGTGACCCCCTCAGTGGAAGAAGAACTTTAGCATCTCAAAGGCTGTGGGTTCAAATCTCGGTTTTGTCTGTCGACTTGGGTCAGTGAGTTATCTTCTTACAGCTTCAGTTTTCTTATCTATTAAAAAAAGATCACCCGGCCGGTGTGGCTCAGTGGCTGAGCATTGACCCTGCACTAAGAGGTCGCCGGTTTGATTCCCGGTCAGGGCCCAGGCCAGATCCCCATTGGGGGGCAGGCAGGAGGCGGCCAATCGATGTTCTCTCTCGTCGATGTTTCTGTCTCTCTCTCCCTCTCTCTCTAAAATCAATAAAGAAAGAAAAAAGAAAACAAGAACTTTAAAAAGGGATCATCAAACAGGTTGCTGTATTGCTAATGGATGGAGGACAGTGCCTGGAAGTTGGCCAGGTGGGTGAGATAATTAGTAGCCACTTCATTCTGAACCCTAAAGTCCCTGGAACCCGTCATTCCCCTTCAGATGAGAAGCAACCCCACTGTCCCAGGGCAGGGAATTTCTCCTCTGAAACCCAGACCCGCAAATTACAAGGCGATTTGGCTTGTGTGACCCAGTTCACAGTCCTGATCCCTGGGCCTCCTCTGACACCTCAGCTTTTGCCCCGAGGGCCCCTCAGCTCGGCAACGCCTGCCCACCTGTGAGGACAGAGGCTCCCCACTTTCCGGATGAGAAAAGAGGTGCATTGAAAGGGAGCAGCCCAACTGGTTGCTGAGCTGTAGAAAATAAGTTAACTGGGGGAGAAAAAAAAACACAGTTCTTTTAAAAATCAGGTTGGGTGTGCAGGGTGTGGCCCCCGCAATTAGCCGCGGTGCTGGGAAGGCGGCGCTGTGTCAGGTTCCCTGGGCCTCCGCCCCCTCCTCCCCCGCTGCCTGCAGGTGTGTCTCGGGCTCCGCGCTGCGCGCCCCATTCCGGCTCAGACACCCACCGGAGAGGTCAGCACCCGCACCCCCTGAGCCCAGTGTCTGCCATGGAAGCCGCCGAAGCCGCCCGCAGCGACGGGGCCAGCCCAGAAGCCAGGGAGGCGCGCAGCCTGCCCGGCCCCACGGGCAGCCTGGAGAATGGGGCCAAGGCCGAGGGTAAAGAAGCCAAGACCGCCAACGGGCATGGCGGGGAGGGGGCCGAGGGCAAGGGCCTGGGCAGCGCCCTGAAGCCCGGGGAGGGGAAGAGCTCCCTGTTCCTGGGGGGGGACTGGCGGCGCCCCATCATCCAGTTCGTGGAGTCCACGGATGACAAGGGCTCGCACTACTTCAGCATGGACTCCGGGGAGGGCAAGCGGTCCCCCTACGCTGGGCTGCAGCTGGGGGCCGCCAAGAAGCAGCCGGTCACCTTTGCGGAGAAGGGGGAGCTGCGCAAGTCCATCTTCTCGGAGCCCCGCAAGCCCCCCGCGCCCGGCGGCGTGGAGCCCAGCGAGGTGCGGAGGAACAGCTACCCGCGGGCGGACCCGGGCGCCCTCCCGGGCGTCCTCCCGCGCGCCAAGCGGGGCTCGGAGGAGGTGCTGTGCGACTCCTGCATCGGCAACAAGCAGAAGGCCGTCAAGTCCTGCCTGGTGTGCCAGGCGTCCTTCTGCGAGCTGCACCTGAAGCCGCACCTGGAGGGCGCCGCCTTCCGCGACCACCCGCTGCTGGAGCCCATCGGCGACTTCGAGGCGCGCAAGTGTCCGCTGCACGGCAAGACCATGGAGCTGTTCTGCCGCACCGACCAGACCTGCATCTGCTACCTGTGCATGTTCCAGGAGCACAAGAACCACAGCACCGTGACGGTGGAGGAGGCCAAGGCGGAGAAGGAGGTACCTCCCGGCCTGCGCGCCCCCAGCTCCTCCGCCGGCCTGCGCCCCCCCCCCCCCACTCCTCCGTCGGCCTGCGTCTCCCCCGTCCCTGGCCCGGGACCTCCAGGCGGGGGGTCAGAGGCAGCTCCCCAGTCCTCCGAGGCCTCAGGAGACGGGGGCTTTTCCTGGATGAGCGGACAAGGCTCAGAAAAGATTGGGGTTTGGCCAAGATCGTAGGATACATTCAAGTCCGATGGGAGAATCAGACTCGATCCTGGGCTCGGTCTGCTGGGTGGGGGGCGGGGGGTTCTTTTTCTTTTAATTTAAGGGACAGGCCCCTGGGGAATGGGTCATGGGCGAGGAAGAAGGAAGCGTGGCCCTTAAATGTCCTTTAGTTTGGCTCAGAGTCTGCATTTGCAGAACAGTGGCTTCTGGGGGTCCTCCCTGGACCCCAGCCAGTCTGTGGGCTCCCCTCGGCCCTTCACCCTCTTAGCGGTCCGTGCGCTTGGTGTGGGGCTGCGTGGGGAGGGGCCTGGGCCGGCGGGCGGAGTGTTAGTGAGTGTCGGCATGGGAGTGTGGGTGCGTGTATACATGTGTGCGCATTTTTACACGCATGCGAGTGTTTATGTGCCTGTGTGCATGTCTGCGTGTGTCTGTGAACGCGACGTGTACGTGCGTGTGCGCAAATTCCGCGTATGTGGCTACGCCTGTACTTCCGGGGGGCGGAGGCGGGTGGAGGCCGTGGGTGAGGTGACCCCGGGAAGGGGTCTGGTGTAAAGGCCTTGGCAGCGACCCTGACCCACGCGTGCCCCCAGCAGCGTGGCTTCCCTCAGCCCTCAGGACGCCCTCCGGCGACCTCGGGACAGCTGGCTGATGACCCCCCCTGAGCCCTTGTCTGCACCCCGACAAGGAGGGACGCGCTGGAGGCGGGAAATACTCCAGGGCGCTTCTCAGAGCCCCATTTGGCCCAGGAGACGGTGTTCCCCGTGCCCCACTTTCCCCCAGCCTGCTTCACGTTTCATCCGGGGAGAGGGGTGGACAGGGGCCAGGGAACCCCCAGGAGCTCCCTCGGGAGCCCCACGCAGAGCAGGGGCGCCATCCGCGTCCCGGCACCAGGACATTGCAGATTCGGCCGGGGTGTCGGTACCGGCTGCGCTCTGGCTTTTCACTCTGACCAGCTGAGGACAACTCCTTCCTCTCTCTCCTGTTTCCCCTTTGGGGCACCGAGGGTTCCGACTAGAGGTTTTCAGGGTGCCCTCAGGGAGCCCTAGGAGTCTTGAGAGTCTCCAAGTCCTCGAGGTGAGGAGGGGGAATTGGGGCCAAGCAGCAGGGGTCCAGGTCCCCGCAAGCAGCACACTCTTACTTATCTGTGTGAATGGAGGGCTGGGCCCCAGACTTCACCTGGAAGAACGGTGTCCCCACGTAAGACCAGCCCAGGTGCCCCTGGAGGACTGAGGGGTCCCAGCAGCTCTCCCTGGGGGCACCGGGAGCTGGCGGTTCACACTCTGGACCCGGCTCCGGCAGCAGCAGGCAGAGGGTGCGGCGGGTTCAGGGTCCTCAGCACAGGGGCCGAGGCAGAGCTCACACAGACACGTCCGGGCGGCAGCTGCGGGCACAGCCAGATGCCAGGCTGGAGGGCGCGTGAGCGTCTCCGCTGCCTCCTCTCCGCCTCGCAGCTGGAGCACAGGCCAGAGGGAGGAGGGCCTGTCCCAGCCTGTAGAGTCGGAGGAAGAACCTCCCTCGGTTCCCTGGCCGGATCTGAGAGCGACTTAGGAGGAAAGTCTTGGGGGGGTAGGATTCAGGAGGTGGGGGCTTTCCGGGGGCTTCCGGGGCAGAGCGTGTCATCCTCTGGCATAACTTTAACGGGGCAGCTTCATGCAACGCGTGTGCCAGCCGCAGAGGCGTGGGCAGGGAGGAGAGGCGGCCACCAGCCAGACACGGACGAAAAGCGCAGCGTCTGGGCCCGGCTCTGCTGGAGCACCAGGTGCCGAGAGGACTTGGGGGTCAGTGGATCAAAAGGGACAGGCCCTCACCCTGGCATATTTCGGAGGCAGTCCCTTCAGCCCAAACACCAGCCCACGCAGCTCTTTACAAGTTCTGCCCAGAACCTGTCGTGCGGGCTGGTGGGTGGACCCCAGGGAGGTCCGCTCAGACACATCTTGGTTTGCTACGTGGGCTGTGGGTGTCCGTCTGCTGGGCCTCTGAGCTGAGCAGTGTTGGGCAGGGTCCCCTGTGTGGCCACAGGACAGTCCTTCTGGGGGGCCTGCAGCCAGACTCTTTCAATCCCAACCTAAATTCACAAGGGGTCCCAAAGACCCCACCCTCTCTGCCTCTGGACATCCCCCGGCTCAAGCCTGGTGACATGATGGTCACCTGTCCTGGGTCTCGTGCCCTTCCCTCTGTCCACCCCCGGTCCTCCTGCTGCCTGACTCACAATGGATTCCTCCTGGCAGGTGGCTGCCTGGTTCTGTGCCTGCCAGGGGCCTCTCCCTGTTTGGGTCCAGGCTGGGCTCTGGGTGGCTCTTGGCAGCCGTGTGGGAGAGGACTAGCCTGGGCATCGCTCTGCCGGCGTGACTCCCCGACCTCAGTGCGGAGCAGCCTCTCCCCGCCAGTCCCTGGCTCAGTGTGTTTCTCCCGCCGTGCCCCGTGGCTGTGCTGTCACCCCTTTGCCCAGTTCCTGCCAAGCAGCTGGGCACGGGCAGTCCTGGCCCTTCGGCCTTGGAGGCTGTGTGGTGGGGGCCTGGGCCCTCTTCGGAGAGATGACGGTGACTGGGGTTCAGGACGAGAAGCAGGCGAAGGCCCGGGCACAGTGGGGGGCTGGGATCGCTTTCCCAGGGGTCTTGGGGTGCTCTGGCTCAGGATGAGTGGGAAGAGGAGGCGGTGACCTCCGGCGCTGAGTGGGAAATGAGAGAGGTTAGAGGCAGGAGGCGGGGGAGGAGTGTAACAGGCGAAGGGGCAGGCGACACAGGTGTGTGCGGGGCCCTGGCCTTGGTGTTTACACGATCGCTCCTGACAGCAGTCCTGCCTGGTGGGGACACTGCCCTGGTGGGGACACTGCCCTGACCTTATAGATGGTGATGGGCTCCCGGATGCCAGGAGACACCCGTGGCTGAGGCTCCGGCTGGTCCCTCGCCGCCCCCTTACACCCTGTTCCCATAGGGCCGCGGCTCTCCTTGGGGTCACTGGGTCCACTGGCTTCTAGAAGCCGACCTCTGGCCTGAGTTGCTGGACGAACTGTTGAGACTCAGTTCCCTGGGCTTCGCCCGGGAGGATCTGAGCAGGAGAGCGGAGCTGGGGTCTTGACGTCTGCACGAGGGCTCTAACACGTCGTCCGTTTTACCAGGAGAAAACCATGGCCCGGGGAAGTGGGGTGACTTCCTCTAGAGACAGCCTGGGTTTGGCCTTCCCGTCTGGACCCTTCCCTGCCCTAACGCCCCTGGGGGCAGAGGACGGGCGTCCCCAACGAGGCAGGCTGGCCCCGGGCCTGTGGAGAGCTGCGTGGAGATGGGGAGCTCCATCTAGCAGTTCAGATTCTTATCCGGATAATCACCATTTGTCTGAGAGGACAAATTGGCAATTAACTGGCTCATTTGGAAACGTTACAGCCAGTGGCCCATGCGGTTCACTCGGCCACAGAAAGAGTCTGGTCTCCCACCTCCCTTCCCGGAGGGCAGGGCAAGGACACCGGTCCCGGTGCGTTTCAGGGGTGTCTGCCCCCGAAGGCCCCGTCCAGGCTGAGGTCCCACCGACTGCTCCCCAGGAAACCTCTGCTCCCCAAGGCTGGGTGGCCCACACAGGGCCCTCCCCAGGCATCCGTCCGAGACGCAACCAGACAGGTGTGAGCAGGGAACAAAGCAGACACTGAGGGACGGGCCTGGGCAGGGTGAGAGGGAGAGATGGGGCGTAGGAGGCAGTCAGCGGGGGGGCACACGGGGAGCTGTGGGAGGCCCACAGACACCAGGGACTTCAACCACCTTCCCAAGGGAGGAGGAGACAGGAAGCCTTAAGGGGCGATGAGGAGGGTGTGGGGGGAGGCAGCAGAGTGCTGAGCAGAGGTAAACAGATGCCGGACACGCCTGCAGAGGTCCCCCTGCACCCCATCCTGGAAGCAGGCCAGAAAGGACTTTCTAGCAGCAGTTTCCAGTCTAAGGTCCCTTCCAAAGTCCTGCCGTGTCCCGAGAATGCGGTCTTTGGAGACCTCTGTGGGAGCCAGGCCCCTCCCAGCCTAACACCTTCTCTAGGCCTCAAAGAAACAAGACCAGTCTCCACACCGACTGCTGCAGATGGTGTCTCCTCTCTGACCTCCCAGGGTCCCAGACCGGCCCCTCTCCCGCCGCCCTGGCCACTGGCAGACCCCTCAGCTGCCTCACCGCCCCCTCTCTCCCTGTCACTCAGGATGGGAGCCCCGGGCTACGTCCGTCCCTCTGTCCTCGGCCTAAACCTCACGGACTCTCCTTACCTCTCGCTCTCGCTTGGCCGGTGAACCCGGGCGTGTCTGGGTGTGACCTCACCTCACCTGCTGGCCTTGACATGTCCCCCCCAGGGCTCCTGGGAGGTCCCCGAGCCCCTCTGCTCACCCCGGACACTGGACTCCTCTGGCTGTTACCTTCTCTGGTCACATCTCCCCCACTCACAGATGAGGGGTCCACCCTGCCCCCTTGTCCTACCTCCATTCTGGTTCCCCCGTGTTCTCCAGACTTCAGTTACCCACGATGAAACCCCCTGTTTGCATCTTTAATCTAAAGTCTTGGCCCTCTGTGCTCACTGGGCACACGGCCAGGGCTGTGCTCCCCACAACACCTGAGATTTCGCCTGGTCATGGCTGCCCACTCCCCTCACCCACCTGTGCCCTGCTGGCCTGCCTGGCACCCCGCACTCCCCTCCGAGCCGGTCCATGGACGTGCGCCCCCTCCTACCTCTCCCGTGATGGATGGAGTGGCCGAGGCACAGAGAAGTCAGGTACCTCGCAGAGGCCACCTGCCTGGAGGTGGGAACCGGATGGAGCCTCTGGGTCCCCAGGCCTGTGCTCTGGGGGGTGCCCCCTGGATACCCCCCGAGGTGGGAGCGTCCGTGTCTGCACTTTCATTCCCTGCTTTCCTGTCTATCAGACTGTGTTTGGGGGATGACTCTCCACTCCGGGGCCGGGTTGGGACGTGTCAGCTCTCCCCTCCCCCTTCGCCAGGGCAGGAGTTCTCTGGGGACGGAAAGGTGCCCGGGACAGACCCATCTCCGACCTCCGGGTCCCGTCCTCACAGAAACCCGGGGACTTCGAGGCCACTGGCCCTGCCCGTCTCTGCGTCCGGGGTGCTACGCCCTCCGAGAGCGTGGGGGCCGAGTGTCTGCGTCCACATGGGCTCACTCCCCTCACTGTGTTCCCGCCGCCGCTGCGTGTGGGCAGCTGGCTTGTCCTCAGCCTGTTTCCAGACACCAGGCCAAGTCACCCTCCTGTTCTCTTCTCTTCCTCTTGACAACGATTTTCCGCCTCTGGTGACGGCATCTCCCATGCTGTGGAGTTTCCAGCCCGTGGCTGGCAGGTGGCTTCTAAGGACCCAGGGTCTCCCAGTGAAAAGCAGGGAGTGTGGGGCTGGGAGGGGGGTCGGGGGCTCTCCGCCGCCCCAGGTCCCCTCCTCCTCGTCCTCCAGCTCCCCAGCTCTTGGGCAGCTACCCCTGCGTCAGCCCGCTTCCCAGGGGTCTGCAGCGGGCTCTCTGGGCAGCACCCGCCCTGGGCAGTGGACACTTCCAGCAGGTGTGGGGTGTGGTGAAGTCTGGGCCCAGCTGCTCAGGGCTCCTGGCCAAGGGGCCACATTCCTGGTTACCTGTGGCTTCTTCAGAGATGGCAGGAGAAGGGGTGGGCTCTGCATTCAAACCCAGAGTAGCAGGGAGACCAGTGCACCCCAAGGCTTTCTCAGATGCCCATTCTCTCCGCCTGTCGGGCGGCGACCACCCACCTGTCTTCCAAGCTGGAAGGTGCTTTGTGAGAATTAGTGGGGGGCTCAGCAGAAGCAAAGGGGTGCCTCCTGGCTGGCCCGAATTGGCTCGGCCTTAGCTTCATGACCCCCCCACCCTTTGTCTCTGCTGTAGCTGCTTTTCAGAGCTGGTCATTTTTCCGAAGGGAAGGGAAGTATGGCTATGAGAGCTCATGTCCCAGCACATTCCTGATAAACTCTTCTCAGCCCACCCCGGACCTCAACAGCCTGGTCGTCTCCTGCTCCGGGTCCCCAGAACCCCTCAGGTTTCTCTCGCCCCCGTCATTGCGTCACGCGCCTGCCTCTCCCCTGGCCTGGATCAAGTTTCCACCTTGTCCAAACAGCAGACGACATTCCCTTTTCCATAAACAGGTTTACGGCTGTGCCGGCCCGGACAGAGTCCCAGCCAGCAGCAACCGGGCTCCGGCATGTTCCAGGGCCCACGTCATGCCCTAGAAATGTGCCCTGCTGTGCGGGCCGCTCCCTGGGCAGGGCAGGGCCGGGCCGGGCCGGGCTGGGACCCCTTCCTCCCCTGAGCTCGAAAAAGGCAGGTTCACTGGCAGGAGTGGGGACCCCATACTCGGGCTCCCTCCTGCTCACAGGGAGGAGCCTGGCAGAGGGTTCGCCCTTTAGAGACATGGCCGGGATGTCCAACCCGAGAGGTCCACCTTCACAATGAGACCGTGGTTTGGATCCCTGGCAACTGGCGCGGGGCCTGGCCCGTCTGCGGTCCCGCTGAGTGTTTGTGGAATGAAGGACTGAGTGGATGAGGAGGGAGCCGGTGACATTTACTCCTGGGGGGCCCCCTCCCTGATTCTCCCACCTCCCTCCCCTGACTTCTCTCCCCCCTGGCCCTTCCCTGCAGACAGAGCTGTCATTGCAAAAGGAGCAGCTGCAGCTGAAGATCATCGAGATCGAGGATGAGGCTGAGAAATGGCAGAAGGAGAAGGACCGTATCAAGGTGAGCAGCTCGAGCCGCGGCGCCCGCGCCCTCCGGGGGACCCTGTGCCAGGTCCCGGCCCCATGGGTCTCCCACCCTTGTTTGTCCTGGGGTCCCCCATTGCTTCGGCATCTTACCAATCCCCTTCCAGGTCAGGGCCAGGCCTCCTGGTGGGATCTTGTCCATCACGTAGCAGGGATTTTACTTGGTGCTGGGAAGTAACATGTCTGGAACAACCCAGCTGCCCACGCCCCACGGCCCGCTCTGCCCACTGGACCCCCCAGCCGCGGGGTGCCGGCTTTCCTCTTTGACCGGGGCCCGTGTGGCCATGGTTTGGGTAACCGCACAGCACGATCGGAAATGATCGCCGGTGACCCTGCCCGCATAAGCGTCCATCAGTTCGCGTTCTGAGTGACGCCCGGTCCTGGCTGGGGTTGTGCCCAGCACACCCGGACTGTGGGGCCACTTCTGGGCCCGCGGAGTTGCCAGGGCGGAGGGGTGGTCGGGAGGAGCCCCAGACGGATAAGCCGGGTCATCTCTGTCGAAAATGGCGTTTCTCAATGACGCCTTTTTCTTTATTTTATTCTACTTTTATCCTCACCCGAGGACATTTTTGCATTTATCTTCAGATAGAGGGAGGGAGAGAGGAAGAGAGAGAAACATCGATGTGAAAGGGACACATCGAGTGGCTGCCACCCACACGACCCCAAGCGGGACCGGGGACAAACCCAACCGCGGTGCGTGCCCTTAGCGGAACCGAACCCGGGCCTCTCCGGTCCACGGGCTGATGCTCTAACCTCTGGGCCAAACCGGCCAGGGCTCAGTGATGCCCCGAGTGAGGTTCCGGACAGGACCTCCGGTGGGAAAACCCTGATGTCTTGGGAGCCGGAGCGCCCGCGGGGAGTCATGCAAACGCCCCAGGGGGGTCTCCAGGCTCACCCCCTCCGTCCTGTCCCCTCGGACCTAGAGTTTCACCACCAACGAGAAGGCGGTGCTGGAGCAGAGCTTCCGGGACCTGGTGCGAGACCTGGAGAAGCAGAAGGAGGAGGTGAGGGCGGCGCTGGAGCAGCGGGAGCGGGACGCCGTGGACCAGGTGAAGGTGATCGTGGACGCGCTGGACCAGAGGGCCAAGGTGCTGCAGGACGACAAGCAGACCCGGGAGCAGCTGCACAGCATCAGCGACTCGGTGCTGTTTCTGCAGGTGACCTGTCCCCACCCCCTCGTCCTCTCCCGCCTCCTCGGACACGGCCCCATCCGTCCGCGCTCCGCCGTCCCTCCGCGGAGTGTTCCGTCCAGGGCAGAGACGCACGCAGGCAGCGCCTTGTCCCAGCTCCAGCCGGCAGGCGCCGAGGGCTGGACGCCGTGGGCAGGCGCCGAGGGCTGGACACAGTGGGCAGGCCCCGGGGTGGGGGACGCAGGGGGCAGGCCCCGGGGTGGGGGACGCAGTGGGCAGGCCCCGGGGTGGGGGACGCAGTGGGCAGGCGCCGGGGTGGGGGTCGCAGTGGGCAGGCCCCGGGGTGGGGGACGCAGTGGGCAGGCCCCGGGGTGGGGGACGCCTGCTTTGGCCGCGGGGTGGTGGCCCATCACGTTGCATGTTTGTGTCCTTGACCTGGTCTGTCTGTTGGTTCATCCGTCCTGTCTCCTAGAGATTCTGGGGACCCCTGCACGCCTGGCACTCGTGTGAGGTGGTAGGAGGCGTGGGGACGTGTCAGGTGTGGTTCTGTCCCCGGGGACAGAGCACAACACACTCGCGCGTAATTACCCGAGAAAATGGGATTTGGGGCTACGTGCCTGTGGGAGCCCTGGAAGGGGGGCCGGCGGAGGGATCCGAGACAGTTCGGTGGAGGCGGTGTTTGGACCGGCCCTTGATGGCCTGGGACCAGACAGACCCGAGGGCTCCCTGTGAGGCGCAGGAAGGAGAGGGTAAAAGGGCAGCAGGGAGATCGAGGGGGGCCGTGCCGGATTGATGCCGTCAGGGCTGCCCCCAGACATCGAGACGGGCGGGGTGCAGGGGCCGGAGGTGGGGACCGCGGAGCCCGTGTCGCGCCGAGTGGGTTTCAGCCAAACCTTTCATTTCACGGAAGAAGGAGCCGGTGCCCCGTGGAGAGAAATGGGGGGGGGGGGTTCCCAGCGGAGCTGGATCAGGACCAGCAGCACGTCCGGCCCCCAGTGCTGAGTCTTCCGCTGGGCGGTGACCGCCCCTGAAGCGAGGGTCCCCGAAACTTCTAAACCCCAGGAGATTCACGGGTGCTCCCCTCTCTTGGCAGGAGTTTGGCGCCCTGATGAGCAGCTACTCCCTGCCGCCGCCGCTGCCCACCTACCACGTGCTGCTGGAGGGCGAGGGGCTCGGGCAGTCGCTGGGCAACTTCAAGGACGACCTGCTAAACGTGTGCATGCGGCACGTGGAGAAGATGTGCCGGGCCGACCTGAGCCGCAGCTTCATCGAGCGGAGCCACGCGGAGAACGGTGGGTCCCGTGGGCCTGAGGCGCGCGTTCTCCTCCAGGTCCATCCTGGCCGGTGCCCGCGGGCCTCCAGCAGGGGATGGTGCCCAGGCCCCCGCGGCGCCCAGGGGTTGCTACCAGGACTCAGAGACTGCAGCCCCTCGTTGACCTTGCTGCCAAAGTCAGGCCGCATCGCAAGGGGCCGCCAGGGCAGAGAGTCTGAGCACCTGCTGCCAGATGTCTCTTCTCTGGGGTCATCCACCAAACTCAGGGTTGGCCTCACTCTGATCTGCGTCTGCGTGGGTGCCGACGCTGGCCAGGGCCAGACTGCAAACTGGAGGCTTTGCAACTCCAGTTCCTGTGACCTGGGACTGCCCTGTGCCCCGAGGGAGAACTGCCCCTGTGCCCCGAGGGAGGACGCACCTCTGTGCCCGGAGGGAGGACACACCTGTCGCCCTGACCATGTTGAGGAGCTGAGCTCAGAGGCTGGCTTTGGCCCGGTGGGCCAGGCTGGGGACGGTGGACACAGCATGTCTTGGTGACTCACCAGCTCTCCTGATGTCAGCTTCTCTCTGAGTCACGCTCCACCCCACAGAGGCTAAGTGAATAATCTCACAGAAAGTCTGAGAAACCGCCCTGCTCAGTCCTTTCCACCAGTCCCAGCCCCGTCCCTTTGGGGCCTGAGGCCTGGACACTCCACCCAGAGCTCCTCCCGGCACTAGGCCCCACACGGGCCTTGAGGACACAGCCTGGTGAATGAGCTCTGGCCCCAAACCCAGGGGACCCTGTCTTTGGTCTCCGGATGAAGTGCGCGCCTCTTTGGAGAGGGGAAGGAAGCACCAGGGTCCACACCACACAGGGTCCCTGTGAACGGGGGGCACGGATAAGCCATTGCAGCAACACCAGCACTTGGCTCTGACTGGTACCTGTGTCCTGAAATCCTCCTTCGAACAATGGCAATGGTATCAATGGTGACAGCTGACAGATGGGGGCCCCCTGTAGCCGGCTGTGTGGGAGCCCCCCGCGCAGTGTCTTATGTTCTCTGTGGGTTGTATTGCGTCTCGCAGACCCAAAGGCTGAGGAGCAGCTTTCAAAGGGTACTTGGCTCATGGGGGCAGCAGCTGGGTTCACACCCTGCTCCTCCGTCTCCTGTCTTCTCCTGGGAGACGCTGCTGCTGCCGGTGATGCGCAGGGTTTGGGGAGCGTGATGAGCACTGTCCCTGGGGTACAACCTGGTGGGGCGGCCTCTCCGCTGAGATCCGGCCAGACCTACGAGGGTGGCCCTGACCCGGTCCAGGTGGCCTGTGAGTCGCAGACGCCCTGCCTGCCGTCCACCCACAGTGCCATTTCTAGGTCACGGCTGTGTGGCCCTGGGCCTGTGCAGGTGTGTGGGGAGGTGGTTCCGGGAGCAGGACGGGTGCTTCTCTGTCAGCAGCACCTGAGCCTGGGGCCTGGGCCACGCTGGTCTTTGTTGACAATGATGGGAATGTGTTTGGCCGTAGGAGGCCTTGGCGTGACCATCCTCTTCCCTCTGAGACGGCCCAGCTGCCAGACCAGGGCCTCATTTACTGTCCAAGGCCTGGGGGCGAAGGGACAGGGTGGGACAGGGAAGGAGGGGCTGGGCCTCTGCCTGGGAGGACAGTCTGTCTGTCCCACCGCCTGTGCATGCCGGAAGCTGCTGGCACCCGTGGTGGGGTGAGGAGGGAGGGTCTGAGCAGCTCCTTCCTCCTTCTGCCCAGGATGGAGGTAGCAGGGGGGCAGTGGAGACAGGGAAGAAAGGAACAGGGTGGAGGGCGGCTGGGGAAGCCAAGCACTGAGCCATACCTCTGTTTGGGTTTTGGGGTCAGATGGGGGGTAGGGAGGAGCCAGTGCTCGTTTTGAGAAACGTAGCTCCTTTCGGCAGAGCTGTGCTCAGTCCTGGGACATAATGTCGTCCCTGAGCCGCTGGGACGTCGTCCCGTCCCCTGAGCCTGTGGGACGTCATCCCGTCCCCTGAGCCTGTGGGACGTCATCTCGTCCCCTGAGCCTGTGGGACGTCATCTCTTCCCCTGAGCCGCTGGGATGTCGTCCCGTCCCCTGAGCCGCTGGGACGTCGTCCCGTCTCCTGAGCCACCTGCCAGAGGCTGGGACAGGGTTCGGAAGTGGGGCTGGGCTCAGACCCCAGCTCTGTCCTCGTTGGCCAGGTCCCATTGGGCAGTGACTCTGCTCCCCGCCTGAGCCTCGGTTTCCTTGTCCGCCAAGTGGGGATGGACCTTGGCCGTAGTCCAGGGCTGGGGTGGGCACCGCGCAGGAAGTGGGCCTCAGCAGCCCCTTGTACACTGTGAAGTGCTGTGCACACTCAGCAGGTCCGCCCGAGGGCAGGTGTGCGGCTCACTGCAGCCTCGGGGAGCTGAGAGCTGAGGGGAAGCTGGCAGGGGGTCACTTTCTCTCGAGCAGGAGCCCCTTGCCTCTCCCCAGGACAGAGGTGACGGTGCTGACCCGGCCACGCCCAGGGCTGCCCCCAGTAGCCAGCTCCCCCCACCGCCCCCTGCTGACCCAGCCTTGTCCTTCCCAGGGGGTGACCATCGCTACATGAACAGCTACACCAACAGTTACGGGAGCGAGTGGACTTCTCCAGACACGGTGAAGAGATACTCCATGTACCTCACGCCCAAGGGTAAGGGCCCCCCCTCTGGGGGGACTCAGCCAGGCTTCCGCCGGGTGAGCAGTGCCCTCAGTTTGCTGGGTCGGCGCTGGCATGTGCCTGCCGTCCCGACGTGACCGTTAGAACCCCCCCTCGGTCTCAGACGCACCCAGTTTGGTGCCATGTTCTCGGGTTCCTGCCCCCTGGGGCCTCCGTGCCTTGTGACACCGGGGTGCGTGCCCACCCGGCCCTCACCGCCCACCCACACCCACCCTTCTCTTTCCTGCGCCCTGACGGCCAGTCTCACCCCCTCCGCTGGGCCAGACCAGGAGGGGCGCGGCCCCCGCTGAGGTTCGCGGAGTCTTGTGGGAAGGCTCCTGCAGAACCACCTGCTCCTCGGGGCAGCGAGGCTCAGAGCTGGGCTCCGTCTCCTCACCCCCTCCCTGTGTGGGGACCCTGCTCCAGGCCCCGGAAAGTCCCAGACTGCAGGGGTGACGGCCTAGAGGGCGGGCAGAGCCCAGTGTCTGCCTGTCTCTGCCCTGTGGCAGCCTGTCGCCTTCTTGGGCACCAACAGCAGCATGAAAATGCCTGTGACTTAAGGTGGGCTGCCAGCCTCACAGACGGGTGTGCAGGCCTGGGAGGGGGGAGTCTGGAGAAGGTCCTGAGCCCTGATGCGCACACACCACACACACACACATTCATACCCTCACACATGCACACACACTCACACATCACACAAGCGCACACACATACCACACACACTCACCTCCCCCCCCACTCACCCCCACACACACCACACACACATTCATACCCTCACACATGCACACACACACTCTCACATACACTCACACCCACACCCACACCATACGCACCACACACACCACACAAACACACTCAAACACATTACACACACGCACACACACCACACACACACGCACACACTCACCCCACACACATCACATGCACACACATTCACACCCACACCCACACCACACACATCACACACACCACACACATGGACACGCACACATACACCACACACACATCACATGCACACACATTCACACCCACACACACACCACACACATCACACACACCACACACACGGACACGCACACACACACCACACACATGGACACGCACACATACCACACACATGGACATGCACACACACCCCACACACATGCACACACACCACACACACACCACACACATGGACACGCACACACACACCACACACGGATGTGCACACACACACAGTGGTTGGGGCCAGGGCCCTGGGAGTCCTGAGCTCAGTGGGAGGAGCCCCTGCTGCCCGACTTCATTTGAAGACAATGTGGGGTTCTGGTGGAGGCCTGGCCAGGCAGGAGGCACCGGAGGCCCCCACCCCCACCCCCACATCCTGCGGTGGGACAGCCAGTCCTGCCCCCAGCTCCCCGGGGTGCTGCCCTTCAGACTCAGTTCTGTGCGACCTACTGGAAGCGGCTGCCCCGGCATCCCCCGCCCTCGCTCTTCCAACTCTCCAGTCCTCTGAGGACCAGACTCTGGGGTGGCCTCCAACCCCCAAATTGTCCCTGCTTCGCTGCCCCATTGGGTAGAAGCCCGAGGAGAGCGGAGGCTCCACTGCAGGCGTGAGAAGGGCACGGGGGGAAGAACACGGACACCCCGAGATGTCGCCCCGAGAGCCTGGGGTGGCACTGCCCCCTGTGTCCCTGTCTGGAGACAGGGGCTTGGCCTCAGATGCCAGGAGAGATCCTCGCTGGGCCTCGGAGTCAACCTGTGACGTGCAGGTGGAGGAACAGGTTCCCCAGGGCCCTGCCCCTGCGCCCGGACAGGAGGGAGGAGGCGGTTGCTCCCAGACTCCAGGGGGGTCGAGAGCAGGCCAAGGAGTCAGCGAGAGCCGCAGACAAGGCGCCTGGGGGCACCAGCGGAGTCGGGGCTGCGGTCAGCGAGGCTCCCAGGAGGGCTGGTCTCCCGCAGAGAAGGGGGTGTGCCCAGGACGGGCCTCTGTGGCGGCAGCTCTGGGAGGGAAGTGAGGTGCAGGGGTGCGGAGGAGCGCCCCTGAGTGCTGGGCCGTCGGGCTGGCCGTGGAGGGAGCTGTTCTGCCGGAGGCAGGAGCTGAGAGAAGAACCCTAATCACATGTGGGGGTGTTTTCTGGTCTATAAAGTGGGGGTGCGTACCCCACTCTGCCATCCTTTGAAGATGGGTGTCGGACCAGATTTGGGGCAGTGCTGGCGGTGAGCACCTGTGGGCAGCACAAGGCCCCCACTCCTGGGGAGAAGCACCCGGTCGTGTCTACCGCGCCCGCCTACCAGGCCCCCCGGTGCCAAGGGCCCAATGCCTCTGGGTGCCATGGTCCCCCTTCCGCACAGGCACCCCATTTCCCAGCCTTAGGGGTTTCAGTCACATGGGGACTGGCTCAGTAGGGAGTTCCGGCTCATTTAACCTCGGGTGACCCTCAAAGTCCCCAAGTAGGGTGACCATCTGACCCTCGGACCTGTCTGCCCAGGACTGTCCCGGGTTACACCCCTTCACTCCCCAAAGCACCCTGACTTGGGTGGTGACTTAAGTGATCACTGTATTCTAGAGCCACATGGGCTGCCGTGGTGGTGGAATCGGGGTCCTGGGAAGGCCCTGGGAGCCCCCAGGAGGCAAGGAGTCCTGCCTCCCTGCCCTTCAAGTCGAGGCCACAGGCGTCTGAGCCAGACCCCCTTCCGCAGAGACAGCCCCACCTCCTTTCTCCCCAGGGGGGGCCAGGACGTCGTACCAGCCAGTGTCCCCCAACCGCCTCTCCAAGGACGTGAGCCAGAAGAACTTCAGCAATCTCTATGGCACCAAAGGTAGAGGGTGGGCGGGGCCCCTGTGGGCAGGGGGGTGTGGGGGTCTGGGGCGGGGTTGCGAGCTCCGGGAGGGGGAGAGGGGTCCTCCTGCATTTAAAGGGTGTGTGACGCGGTTAATCGGGTGCAGGAAAGGCGGGGGGCACCTCAGCCGCACTGGAAACCTCGCGTCCAGGTGGGGTGTCCTGGAGGGTGAGGCGGGGGAGACTCCCTCAGTGAGTCTCAGGCACGAGGACCCTCACCGATCGGTGTCCTCATTGCGACGTCGTCCGGTGGTTGCGACCAGCTAGTGTGGTGATAGATGGAGAGTTTGTCAAGGTACCGGATGGGCCCACCCTGGGTGCCCAGGAGGTGCTCTTGCCAGGTGAGGGGTGGGATGACCCATAAGACCCAGAGGAGACTGAATGGGAACGGGACCCGGCTCCCCGGGGCCCGCCGTGTGCAGAACCCCTCCGCCCAGTGTGCTGAGGTTACCACTGTGCAGGGACAGGTCCGTGTGCTCGAGGAGACCGGGTCTGGGAGGCGCCGTCCACCCTGAGGGCTCCTCATGCTTCCCGTCGTGTGCAGAGAGGGAGGGACGGGGCCACCCCAGGGCCCCCGGACACAGGGCCCGGGGTCTGCAGAGGTGACGAAGGCCGTGCTGGGGTGCTCTGAGGTCTGCAGGGTCAGGAGCTCCCACGCCCAGGCCTGGCGGCCTCTCTGTCCAGGATTCACACGCACGGCAGGCCGATCTCTGGGGCAGCAGCTGGGTCTGTCCTGTTTCCTGCTGCAGCCTCAGGGCCCAGAAGGGGCTCAGGACACATTTGTTGAAAGAAAGAGAGTGGACACGTGAGTGAGTGAATGACGAGACAGGCACATGGGCAGAGCCTGGGGCAGGCTCACGAGGTCACCCCACGGAGGACCCTGTGGGAGGGGCTTCCCACCGGGCAGGTGGACAGCCCGAGTCTCTGACTGCTGAGCCCAGAGGGCAGCCCCAGCCCCGTGCAGCCAGCTGTCCAGGACGGGGCTCCCCGGCCTGCCGGAGGGGGCCAGAGAAGAGTGCATGGTCCATGGGCCCCGAAGCCCCCACTCGACCACACTGTCTGCACACACTCTGTGCAAGAAGCCTGGGCGGGGTGTCAGCGATGGAGACGGGGGAGGGGGAGCCAGGAGACAGAGGTGAGGGCAGCCCCCAGAGAGAGCTGTGGTCGTGCATCATGGGCTTTGGACTTTCATCTGATAACGGGGGCAGGGCAGGGACGCGCCAGCCTGTACGTTCAGGACCAGGTTGAGGGCTAGAAGCGTTGGCAGGAGGCTAACTGGGCCCAGCACTGTCCTGGCTCAGGACACAGTGAAGGAGAGAGTCCCAGCAACAGCCCGGTCCTGCCTCTGGCCCCGCCCGACGGCTTTGCTGAGATGCCTCCCCTTGCCTGGCAGGTAACTACACGTCGCGAGTCTGGGAGTACTCCTCCACCATGCAGAGCCCCGACGACCTGCCCGTGGTCCAGGGCAGCTCCTCCTTCTCCCTGAAAGGTGAGCTCAGCACCCCTGGCCCTCCCGGCCGCCCCCCAAGCCCTGCACTGGTCCCCCCCCCCACTCTCCGGATCCTCGCTGTCCAGGGACAGAGCCTGGACTGAAAGCCAGAGGGTCCCCAGGGACACCTGTGATACCGGCTCCCGGTCAGGGGTGGGGACACCCACACCCTCACCGCCCCCCAGACATCCCGGGGTGCTTCCATCAGGTTGAACCCCGAGTCTTCCTGCTACAGAAAGCTAGAGTTGACTCCCAGCCCTGGTCAACTCTAGAACCCTGTGGGCACAGGGCACCCACCAACACTTCAGAGAGCCAGAGACCAGCCGAGCTCCGCTGGAAAGGTGGCCGAGGGGTCTGAGGCCCCCGAGCCCGAGTCTGCCCCCAGAGCGCTCGGCACGGGGGAGCCGCTAGGGCCTCCTGTCCTCGGGTGGGGTCGTTTTTCGGGGAGGGCTTGAGCCACACCCCAGCTCACCGCTGGGGCCAGCAGTCTCGTGTCTTTGGAGGTACCCAAGAACAGGGCGGTCAGTTGACGGGTCAGTAACCTGGCCCGTCGTCGGGCGCCCAGGGTGTCTGGCCTGGCAGGACGGATAGCGGTTGGGACGGCTGGGGAGGGGAAGGCAGACCCCAAGCCATGGCCCCTGAGGGTGGCTCCATCGTCCAGCTGCGATCCCAGCCTGCGTCCAGGGCGGCGCCTGGGAATGACCAGCAAGGTGAAGGAGAAGAGGGAATAAGACTCGAGGGTCCCAGCCTGCAGCACTGCTGGGAAACGGGGTTCCTCTCGGCCAGTCTGGCTTCTACCAGGTCCCTCCCCGCTCGGGGGCCAAGCCCAGGGCGAAGGCCGCCCAGTAGGAGTGGTTTGCAGCCTACCGGCTCCTGTAGGCCTCCCCTGGAAGGAGCTGAGGCCTCAGGAAGCCCGGGACGTCCACCGTCATGCAGATCCCCCACCAGATCCCCTGGGAAGGCCCTGGAGGGGGCTGGGTGGGCTGAATGTGTGCGAGGAGAACCCCACCTGTGAGGACCCCAGCACCTGCTCCAGCAGCTCTGGGGGAGGCAGAGAACATGCTCGGGGTGCTGGGCTAGGGCTCAGCCAGCTGTGGGTGGCAGCACCCCAGGGGGAGAGGGGCTCCCTTCGACCCCTCCTGAGACACCGCCAAGCTGCTAATGCCCCTCTCTCTCCCAGCAGGCCCTGGGAGGCTCCCCTATCAGTCCGCCACCTTGGGGCAGCCCACCACAGAGTTTCCCAAACCACTGGACAGCAATGGGCTGTTTAAAAATCATGCTGGTACCTGTTCATTCCTCGCCCCCCTTCACTTCCTCTCCCACACGGGGGCAGGCGGGGCGGCCTGTGGGGCTCTCTGCCACTTCCAGGGTGTCCTGGCGCCTCCTCCCCAGAGCCCTCGGGAAGAGGGGTGACTGCCCGCGGTCGTCTCTGGCTCCCCTGCCCTTTACTTCCACCTGCTGCTAAGGCCCCCTGGACGCTCCTCACACCCCCTCCTACCTCTCCGACGGCTGGTGCGGGACTTTCTTCCTGGGAGACCCGGATCCCCCAGCCCCCCACGCAGCATCAGTAGAACCCCTTTTCCAAGGTCGTCCCATCCCCAGATGCAGGGAGAGACCTGGGTTCTCTGCTTTGTCTCTGCCCCTTGCCAAGTGCCAGCCAGGGAGGGGCAGCCAGTGGGCGTCCGGGCCGAGCCGCAGGGGTTTCTGGGTCTGACCAGCTTATTGCCCCTGAGAGCGGACCAGGACTCCAGGCCCCAGCCAGAGACAGACCCAGCGACTTCTTTGTTTTAAAAATCATTCTGAGCCCTGGCCGGTTTGGCTCAGCGGTTGGAGCGTCGGCCTGCGGACCAGAGAGTCCCGGGTTCGGTCCCCGCTGGGGGCTTATACCAAAAAATAAAAACTGTTTTGATCCCCTGGATCCCATACTGTTATTTTTTTAATCCTCACCTGAGCATATGCTTATTGATGTGTAGAGAGAAGGGAAGAGAGAGAGAGAGATCAGTTGCCTCCCACATGTGCCCTGACCAGAGATTGAACTGCAACCGAGGTCCGTGCCCTTAGCGGGAACCGAACCGGGACTCTCTGGTCCGCAGGCCGACGCTCTCACCGCTGAGCCACGCCGGCCAGGGCCCTGCTTCTTCCCTGAGCTCCTCGCATCCCGGTCCCAGCCTGCTCTTGCCTGGGCACCGCTCCGGCCCCTGCGGGTGGCTGGCCAGCTGGGCACTTGTCCTCCTGCAGACCACAGGCCCCCACGATCTCCCGGGGGAGCCCCCCACAGTGCTTCCTGCCCGGGGGCTTGCAGTCTGAACCCTGGACCACAGCCGCGGGGAGACCCTGCCTCTCCCTGGGTCCGTCCTCCTGCTCCTGCGGCAGAACTGGGCAGGAGGGACCCGAGGGTGGGCTGGGAGCCCAGCAAAACCTGGGTTCAGGTCCGGCTCCATAGCTGCAGCTCCGGTGCTGAGCTCACAGAAGTCGGGCCGGGCTCAACGAGACACATACAAAGTCCCAGCTCAGTGCTCAGCACGGGGGGCTGATGGACGGGGGTCCATGCAGCACAGAGGTCGGGGTGAGCGCCTCCCCTGGAACCCTGGCAGGTTGCTTACCAAGCAACTTTCCTGGGCTTTGGGAGGGAGGTGTGCAGGGGGCCTGGGGGAAACTCCCAGAGCAGTTTGGGCCTGATTGGATTTGGGGGTGACACCCCTGCTGCCTGGCCCACCTACTTCACCTGCTCCTGCTCCTTCTGTCTGCCTTGGGGCCACCTCTCTTCGGCCAGCCTCCCCAGGATTTCCTGTGGCCTCTTCGGGGGGCTGTACTTGGTCAAGGGCCGGATGGAGCTTGGTGGTCACTGTGGAGACGGCATCTGCTCCCGGGTGCCCGACTGCCCACCCTGCTTCCTCTGACCCGAGCCTCCTGTCTCCCCAGGCTACCCCTCCCTCATGAGGAGCCAGACGCCCAAGGTCCAGCCCCAGACTTGGAAATCCGGCAAGCAGACGTTGCTGGTGAGTGAGCGGGGACCAGGGGAGCGGCCTGGCTTTGGCATGTCCAGATGGGGTGCTCCTGGGCTCCCCAGGGACAACCGCTCGATGCCCAGGGCCTGTGGCAGGACGGTGATGTCTCTGGGCCCGGGACAGGAGGAGGAGGCGCTGTGGCCTGGGTACCTACAGACAGCAAAGGGCAGGAGGAGCCCAGGCAATAGGCAGGGGCCTGAGTCAGCGCACACTCTGAGCCTCGGTCTTCTCATCTGCAAAATGGGCAGCCTGCTTGTTCATTCGGCAAAGGGTTGCTGGGCGCCTGACTGTTGAAGGACAACGTGGTGAGACCTGCTCAGTGCAGGGGGCAGGCATCCTGGAGACGAGCCCCCTGTGCTTGGGACAGCACAGGTGGCCAGGGGGACCAGGCGGAGAGGCAGTCTGCAGTTAGGAATAGATGTGCTCCGGTTTGGGAAGCTATGGCCCGAGCTGGGCCAGTTTCTCTGTTTATGAAGTGGTGCTGAGAGGAGGTAGCTCCTCATACTCTGCCGTCCTGACATGCCTGACCCCTGTCCAAGACCTCACAGGTCAGGGACCGTCCTCCCAGGGAGGGACCGTCCTGCCGGGGAGGTCAGCCAGCGGTGGGGTGTGGTCCTGCTGAACCAGAGCTGCGGCTCCCGGCCCCGCGCCCTGTTTGCCCACGGAGGGCAGAGCCCGGGAGGCGATGGACCTGGGCCCCAAGGGGTGGCTGAGGCTGGTTTGGTGGGAGAGGAGCACCCCTTGCTGGCAGTTGGAGCTGAGTGACTGTGTGACTCAGAGCTGGGCTCGGGGCATTGCAGCAGCAGGACCGTACCCCGCGGACACCGGGAGGAAGTAGAAGCCTCTGTTCCGGGCTCGGTCTGCACACTCCTCCCCATCCCCGCCCCAGAGCCCGCGTCCGCTGGAGAAGGCTTATGGCCACCGGGAGATGCCCAGCCAAGGAGCTCGGGTGTCTGCGCTCGAACCCAGCGCTGGGAGAGGAGGGGCAGATGGCGATGTGCCAGGAGGGCTGGGGGCCGTCCGCCGGGGCTCTGGCCCCAACCCTCTCACCAACGTGCTATGTGACCTCGTGGGAGTCCCTCTCCCTCTGGGCCTCAGTTTCTCCATCTGAGGCGTGAGGCAGACGGCTGGGATGATGTCACAGCCCTCCCAGGCCGTGGCCACCGGGGCGGGAACGGGGTGGGAGAGGCAGAGGGCGAGCACCCCGCCCAGATGCCACGGGCTCTCGGTGTCTGCCCCTCCCCGCTCTGGGCTTCTGCAAGGACAGCCCTGTTCACCGACCCAGCCTCCTCGAAAGAAAGGCCACAGCCAGAGCCTGCTCGGTCCACTTTGCTTCATCGAAAGCTTTGGGTCCAGGCTGGCACCTGGGGGTCAGGGGACCTGGCCCAGACTCTGCCACTGAGTAGCTGTGGGACTTTGGGTCATTCCTTCTATGGGCTGCCATCTCTCCCTTTGTTTAATCTCTGGTTTCACTACGTCCGAGCTAAGGGCCCAGCCCTGCTGTGGACCAGATGTGGGCAGGGAGCTACCAGGACATCGAGTTTCTGGGCTGGCCAGGGACAGGGCTGGAGCCCCCTTGGTGTCTCGGGCAGTTGCTGGGTTCAGTCCCTCCCAGAGACTCTCAGGCTCAGTTGCCCGGGAAGCCAGCATTAACACCTGCTGTTCCGTCAGCCGGGCGGGCAGCTTCTCGGGCCGTGATGAAGTTTTGGGGAGAGCGGGGGTGCTGGTTTTGGGAAACGGCCACAAAATATAAGGCACGGAGCTGGCAGGACCCCGTGCCAGGTGCTGTCCTGAGAGACGCTCCCGGATTCTGAAGAGGACAGGGGGGGGGCGGGAGATGGGGCGCCCTGGTCTGTGCCGGGCTGGACGGTGCCCGCCCCCTTTGCGCCTCCCGCAGGGAGTTGTGCGCAGAGACAGCAGAAGAAGACAGAAGCCCTCGACTCGGGACGCGGTTTGGAGAAATGGATGGGGTGGCGGCTGGCCTCTGGAGCCAGACTGCTGGGCCTGGAGTCCGGCGCCTCGGCCCACCCGCTGGGGGCCAGTTGCTTAGCCCCTGTGCCTCGGGCTGCTCATCTATGAAGTGGGCACGACAGCAGTAGCCCCTTCCGTGGGGGTTAGAAAGCCCAGGAGTCCGTCTGAGGTCCCGCGGAGGAGACGGCACTGCCTGAGGGAAGGGGTTTGTCACGGCGCCGGGGGCCTTCCTGGGCCGGGAGAGAGTCTGACGAGGGCTGCGGCCAAGCTCTCCGGCCGACTGGTGGACGTGACCTCTAGTTGGGGTTTGAACCTGGAGACTGATAACACGACGGCCCGATCTGGTCGTGGGGCAGACGGAGCCTGCAGGTTAGGCCCGGCCCGTAGAGGTGCTGGGGTTCAGACCACGGCTGCTTCTGGTGGGGTTCGGGGAGCGTGGGTCTGGCCAGCAGGCTCCACCACTGTCGCCCCCCTAACCGCCCTTGTTTCCCACAGTCTCACTACCGGCCATTCTACGTGAACAAAGGCAATGGGATCGGGTCCAACGAGGCCCCATGAGCTCCGGACGGGCGGAACCAGGCATGGCCACCCCTGCCCTCCCGGCTGACCTTGCTGCTCTTGCTACTGTTCTTACTGCATTGGAGGAAGACCGGTCCTATGTCTGCTGTCCCCCGACCCCTGCCAGCCCACTGGGGGCCGTCTCAGCCTCCCCCACGCCCCCCATTAGCCACGCTCCACCCAGGCCGCTCTCCTGCTTTGAAGCTTCGAACGGTCATCGTCTTGGTTGAGCTCAGCGGCCAAGCATCACCAGGGTGGGTGGTCGATGGGCCACCCTCCCCTAACCCACTGCCCTTCTCTTTGATGGGGTCACTGGGGCTAGCAGCGGGGGCCCCCATGTACCAGCTGCCTCTTCCACCCACACGCTTGCTGGCTTCAGGCCTGTTGGCCATTTCTCTCCGAGGACCCTTGCCCCATGGTGTGGTCAGTCAGTGTCTGGCCAAGGCAGCTGCTCATTTTCCTTCCAGCAGCAGGGTCCCGTCGGGGAAACACGGGTTGTGTGTGCCCTGCGCTGGCCCTCCCTGCAGTGCCCAGCCTGGCGGAGCCACAGCCCGTGGCCAGCAGGAGGGAGGCCTCACCGTGTCGGCATCTCCCTCCCAGCCCGGTCGCACCACGTCCACGCTGGGTCCCTGAGGACGGGCTCCCGGCTGGCAGGTCTTAGCCAAACGCCTCTCTCCCACCTGCCGACATCAGCAGTTCCCTTGGCCTGACACCAGGGGAGGTGGCCAGGGCCCAGCTGCCCCGAGCGAAACATCATTTACCTGCAGATTTCACGAGCTGAAGATTCTGAATTCTCCTGCGGTGGATGGAGGCTGGGCTGGTGACCGCCGGTGCCGCCCGCCTGCCGCCCACCACAGGCCTCCGCCCTCTGCCCTCCGCACCCTCCACACTGCGTGTTGCCACAGGGCAGGGGCCAAAGCAGGAGCAGCAAGGGGGGTGGTTCTCCCTCTCAGCCCCTCTGGCCTGTGGGGCCTGGCGGGCAGGGGTGGGGCAAAGGGAGGGAGACACTCAGCTCAGCCCCCCCAACCCTCGATCACCTGCTTGTGCCGAACAAGTGCCTCCTCGGGGTCCCAGAGGGACCAGCTGCAGCTCTTCTGAATACACTTTCCACTCCGACAGTGTGGCCGTCTCTCTTTCCGCCGAAAGACGTGGCTCCTTGGGGCCTCCCTTCCAGCCCTGCCCCCATCAGGGTCCCTGGGGTGCCGAGGGGACTGACCTTTCGGAGGCCGGCTCGGAGCAGAGGGAGGGCTGTGGGGAGCGGTCCTGGGGCGTGTGGACGGCCCGAGGCCCATGAGTGCCCGGACCCCGTGGCAAACCTGCCCCAGAGTCTCCAGAAGTGCCAGGGGCCAGGAGAGCAGGCTGCTCGGAGGCCCTGATCTCAGAGCCTTCTGGGTCCTGGGGAGGGGAGCCGGGTCCTGAGGGCGGCGTGCTGGGCGCGGGCGCCGAGGAAGGGAAGGAGCACTTCCAGGCCCTGGGAGCCCAAGAGGCTGGGGGACAGTCCGGGAAGGCTTCCTGGAGGAGGCGAGCAAGGCAGGAGGAAGTAAGACTGACTAGGGAGAGGAAGGAGCAAGGAAACCACACCCCCTCCCGCCCAGTGGCTGGTGCCCCAGGCTCCGGTCCTTTCTTGCGTTGCTCCCACCAGAGCAGCCCCTCCCTCCCCAGGTGAAGCACCTGAAAGACTTTCCACTGGTTCCTCGTGGGAACACCCCTCCCCCTGGCCTCGGGACAGGGAGGGAAACAGGAAGGAGAGAAAGGAGGGGAGAGGGGACAGGACCAGGAGGACCTCAGCCCTGTCAGGAAGCGGGGTCACCATGGGGGCCTTCCTGGAGCTGGGAGCAGGTGCCCTGGGGGGCTGTCGCTCTGGAGGCCATGCCCTGGCTGGTTCCCAGGGCCCTGTGAGGACAGACACCACCCAGCGCTCCCCGACCTCCTGCAGGACCTGCGGCCCCTGTGGCCACGCTCCTGGCTCCAGGGATGCCCGACCCTGAAGGAGGCCCTGCTGCCCACAGGGTCCTTCCTCAAGCCCGTGGGCTCCCGAGGAGGGCAATGGACAGGGCCCGGTCCGGTTCGGCTGAGTTCCCCAGGCTCAGTCATGGGCAGCTGGGTCCCTGCCCGTCCAGGCCTCACGGGGAGTGGCCATCGCAGTGAGGAAACCAGGAAGGCGGGGAGACAAAACAGCCGTGTCAGGCCCTGGCCGGTGTGGTTCAGCGGTTAGAGCGTCGGCCTGCGGACCAGAGAGACCCGGGTTCGGTCCCCACTAAGGGCACGTGCCTCGGTTGCAGTTTGTTCCCGGCCCCGGTTGGGTCGTGTGGGAGGCGACCAGTTGACGTGTCTCTCTCACATCGATGACTCTCTCTCTTCCCCCCTCTCTCCCTCCTGCTCTATCTGAAGAAAAACAAACCCCAGCTGGAGCCTCCATGGGGACATCCCCAGGCGTGGCCCCCCCTCAGTCCCCTCAACGCTGGCCCCGTGGTCACAAAGCAATGTGGGGGAACCTCTATTCCCACTTCTCAGGACGCCCCACTCCTCAGCATGAGTGCGACACCCGGGAAGGGGAGGCGTCTCCCCCGAACCACCACGTAGACTCCATTCCACTCTCGCTCCCCTGAGGCTGGGCCCTCTCCTGTGTCGTGGCCTCTCCCAGCTCGCGCGCTGGGGGTCCCCAGGGCTGTGGGTGCCCGTGGGCAGGCGGGGGAAGGGACTGGAGGAGGGGGAGGCAGAGCTGAGACTCAGCAGGGAGCCTGGAGGGGACTTGGGGGGACTTGGGGTTCTGTCCCAGCTCTGGGCTTGACCTTCCCAGCTACCCAACGAGCTGTTTTCGCTGGATCGTTCTCGAGGCCCTTCCCCGGTTCTTACAGTCTGTGGGGTGAAGACTCGAGTGGGGTGGCTGGAACGGACTGGGAAGCGGAGCCTGGGCCCGAGCTCGTGTCTCTCTCGTGGACCTTCTGCAGGTGCTGGGTGGTTCCCCAGCCAGTGACCCCACCAGCGCTCCCTGCGGTTCTGAGACAGGCCAGCAGGTGGCAGAATCTCACCCAGCGGTCGGCACCGCGCCTGCCTCCCCCGCCCAGGAGTCCGGTGTCCCCCCTCTTTCTGCAGGTCCCCAGCTGAGCAGGCTGCTCAGGGCCAGAGGGGGCGGAGTGGGGGCAGGGCGGCCCCTCCAGGTCCGAGCCGCTGCCCTTGAGCTCTCGGTGGACTGGAGGGTGGGCCTGAGGGAGAGGCTGAGCCGGCAGAGGGCTCAGTCCTGCAGCCTCTGCACAAGGCAGACCCGAGTGAGGAGTCGGCTGCGGAGTCCCAGAGGCCCAGCAGCTGCAGACCCTTGGCTGCCATCCTCAGATGTCCTACCTGCGGACAGGGACACTAGTACCTCCCTTCTGACTCACAACCTACAGAGCTGGGAAGGGTCAACCTGGGGGGGAACCTGAAGGCAGGGTGGGGGCCCAGCTCCTGACCGGCCTCATTTTCCCACCAAGCCTCCCGTCCCCTCCCATGAGGGACCCGGGCAGTTGTCTCTTTCTGAGTGTTGACTGTTACATTTAAACGTAAACTCGCTCGGCCACAGAACCGGGAGACGAACCCTAACTGCTGGGTTCATGTGCTGACTCCGGGTTCCTAACTCATCACCTTGCGGAGGCCGAGGCTGGGGAGAGGCGAAGGGAAAGAGGAGAGGGGGCCAGCTCGACCCTCTCACAATAGGGTGCGGGGTGCGGGTGGAGCAGAAACTCCTCCCAGGTGCTGGGAGTCACACACTGGGCCCCAGGCTCTCCAGGGAGGACAGGGGGCAGGGCGGAGAAAGGGGGGAGGTCTTGGGCTGCTCACAGTAATCAGGAAATTAATCCCAGCGGACTGACTGTGCATGTCCTCCCTGGCCCTTGGCTGGCTCCTCCCTGGAGCTGCCTTGCGGCCGCAGACCTCTGACTGGCAACTGGCAGAGGGGGCTCCAGCCGCAGAGCCCGGCACAGAAAGGAATCACAATCATTCCGCGAGATGCCAGGTTCTGGTCTGCGGTGAGGAACTCCTTTGAGAGGGGGACTGGACGAGAAAACGGAGGCCAGGACTGGGTCGTGGAGCAGGCTGGGGGAGAGGGGGGCACAGCTGTCCTCTGGGCGCGAGGATTCATGTGGGGCAGGACGGAGGGGCTCTGCATTCATTCCCACACACCCGTGGGGTGCAAGAGCTGGCTGTGGAGTACTGCAGGCACAGGCTGCTGCTTCTCAGGGAGCGGAGGGAGCGGCCAGGGAACCTAGGGCTGGTCCGGAGGGAGAGAGGGGCCAGGCCGAGCCCAGCACATGTACCGTGAGAGACGACGGGGCGGTGGGTCTCCTCTGACCATGGACAGCTGCACTGGAGACTGTCTGGGGGAGCAGGTGGGAGCAGAAGGACCTGCCTTGCAGAGTGAGCTCTGTGTGTGAGGAGGACAGAGGCCAGCTGGCCGGGGGGCGGGGGGGGAGTGACAGACAGCAGGTTGGGGGGCTGATCACACACCACCTCGTAAGGATTTTACTGTAACTGCAGTAGCTGCCTCCATGGGAGAGTAATGATTGGAAGAAGGGTCTGGGGGTGGGGGAGGTAGGAGAGGGCAAGGGGGGATAGTGGGGGTGGAAGGGGACTGGACTTGGGGTGAACACACAAAATATAGATGATGGACTATTGACGTGTACACCTGAAACCTATATAATTTTATTAACCAATGTCACCCCAATAAAAATCCTTTTTAAACAAAACAAAGAAGACCCAGGCAGTGTGGCTCAGTGGTTGAGCGTCCACCCTGCACTCAGAAGTCGCCGGTTCCATTCCCGGTCAGGGCACATGCCCAGGTTGTGGGCCCGATCCCCAGTGGGGGGCGTGCAGGAGGCAGCCCATTGATGTTCTCTCTCATCCATGTTTCTCTCTCTCTCTCCCTCTCTCTAAAATCAATAAAGAAAAACAATTTAAAAACTAAAATAAACAAAGAAGAGGGATCTGGAGAGAACCGGGGTGAAGGGGGAGTTAGAGCTGCTGGTGGGGTGCTTCTGCTCGGGTGGTTGCACCTTCTGTGTCTCGGATGCTGTGGGGGCTCAGACTCTACAAATCGAATGTGAAGGCCTCGTCTGTGCGGCTCGTCTCTGCTGGGGGTGAGGGCCTGTAGGTTGGCCCTTCGAGAGCGGGGCAGGGAGCAGACTAAGTCCTGGGTGGAGATGGACGAGCGAGGAGTAAAATCCAGAGTTCTGGGGCTCACAGGAAAGGCATCCACGTGGGAGGTTGAGGAATTTTCCAGGCAGTGTGGGGGTTGACCAGATGGGGAGGAGAGGGGGAGCTAACCGAGACGGAATGAGATTTCCTGCTCTGCCTGCCTGGACCTGGGGCGCCCTTGGGCCCGAGCATCTGGACCTCTAACGTGGAGAGAATTTGCTTAGGGAGCCAGTAAGAGAAAGGATTCCAACCCCTTCAGTTGTCACCGGATCCCGAGTCCTCCAGCAGCCGCAGGTGGGAACTGCAGGCCTCGGGTCTGCTGGTTCCTTCCCAGAGGCTTTCTGTCGGCTGAGGACAGCGGGCCAGCTCCTGCCAGCAGCTCCCTGCCGATGGCCCACCCGTCGCTCCAGTGCCCAGCCCTGCAGTACTCATGCCCCCTCTGCAGCCAAGGCGGCGGCCACGTCGGAAATGCCAGGTGTCCGTTTCCCCTGCCGTCGGGAGAAGGGCCAGCTCTTGTGTCCCGAGTAGTTTACTAATAAAAGGGTGTCCTGCTGCTGTCCCCGTGGGCACGCGGCCTGCCCCTGAGCCCAAAATGCAGCCCGAGGTGGATGAGACAAGGCTGGGACCCGAGCTGACTGGTCCGGGGGCTGCGTCTCCCCCAAGTCTCTCTTGTTTGAAGTCCATTTCCTTTCCGGACATGTCCACAGTCCGTAGTTCACCTGCGGTGATGGTCATTCGGTCATTTACTCATTCAGTCAGTCACTGAAATGTGCGTCTGTGAAGCAGTCATGGTAGACACAGAAATAAAAGATGCTAAACGCACAGTCAGCTCTTTTAACTCCCCATCTGCCCTGACGCCTTATTGTGATGCTGACCCCCAGCCCCCAGGAGCTCACAGAGAGACGCGGGGACTTGGGGAGCATGAATGGCAGATGTTACTCTTCACCAGACA